CAGCAAACGCAATATTTAAAGCAATAATAGAGAACAAAATTAAAAAGATAAAGGACATTAATTAATTAATCAAAAGAAAACAAAAATCAGATGGCAGATCCAGATCAATTAATTATAAAAAAGTCTACTAATCAATGAAATTTACAGAAATAGTAGAAACATTAGCCCAGAGCTTTCATAACATGCTATAAAAACCAAATTGTAGAATTTAGCCAAATCAACCCCCAAATTTTCTCTCTCCTCACTCCTCTTCCCCTTTTAAACTCTTTTATTTTTTAAATATCCTAACTGGAATCCTAGATATACTCGGAACATCCTGTAAATACTTTATTGACATTCCTAACCATATTAACCCTCAAAAATTCATCCAAAAATAGTAAAAAAATACTCAAGAAAATCCCTTCATTGTCCTTTGGGACAGGTGCCGGCCTCTCATGAGCCTGTAGCTCATTTTAGATTAATGAAAGATTTGACCAACCCCCCAAAAAATAGTCGAAGAAGATCACTTTCATAGTCAAGGTCACTTGAGCTGTAATCCTCTCCCAGCCTCATCCTGGGAGGCGACCTTATGGAAACAAAAGCCTGGAAAGAATTGCTTTCACTCTAAGAGAATGTAGCCCCTTATACCAACCCCCTCATGGCAGGAACACGTGGCCCATTACGAAATGAAGAGAAATACTAAATTGTCCGATAGTCCAATTATCGATTATTCATAAACAATAAATATTTATAATTTTGTTACTATCATCTTCATACCATTTATAAAGAGTCTACTATAATAAAAGTTGAATAGCAATTTGTTGTGCATGATCGGAGTACTATCTGCCTATCTATTTATGGCTAGTTTAAACTGTTGTTCTATTAGCTACCAAAGGCTATTCTTCCAAGACTTCAAGCAATTGCTCCTACTGCTTTTACTTTTCCTGAATCGTATCTCTTTTCCGCACTCCATCTGTTGCCTCCTTTCTCAGGAAACTATCAGCGAGCCTTTGTGTAACTTCACCTTTTAGCTGACAAATCTTGTGTCACTTTTACATATCCAAAACTTGCTTTTCGATGTTATGTTCTTTGAACTCAAATAAAGAATCCTGGTAATGATCTTCTGTTGACATGTTGATACAAAGGAAACAATTGGCTTTATGCATGGAAAATGCACTGTTTCCAAGTAACAATTGTACATTAGAACCACAGGGAAAGGGGAAAATGAAAAGTCATCTTTACTCTTGGAATATATTTATATAAAAGGGGAGAGTCGAGGTGGCAAGCAACCTATATTCAGGATTGTAGAACATAGATTACTTGCAAGTAATTTCAAGAATGTGATCGAATTGCATGTTCTTCAGATATGAAATTGATGGAACAAGTATAAATTCTATTGGTATTGCTTTTCTGGGAGTACCTCGTTCGAAAGTCTTCAGAATCACACTATCCAATAGGTTAAACGAAGTCATTGCCCAATAATTGCTTTTAAACATGTGAGCAAGTTGATACTACTTGCTAGTTTTCAGGATCGCTGAGATCCAGCCAACTTCTTTTGTAAGCATCTCCACACAACTTTACTGCCCTTACAATCATCAAAAATATAATTCCAATCAATTGCTTAATGGAAGACTACTCTCCTCTCCCTTTTTTAGCCTCTTTCTTTATTTTTCCTTTTCTTTGTAGTTTATGATTGATCTATCCTCTGGATTTTTCTAATTGAAAGCAGGGCTTTTAGGTAAGGAAATTTGCATTTAAGAAACTTGCCATTTTGACCATCGAGTTCTTTTAGCCCATTTTGATAACCCTTCTTTATCTCCACCGTATATAAAACATGTTTATGGCTAAAACTTGTTATTTACTCCTCTTCCTTCGCTCTGTTAACTCTCGAACTAACTCTGACCACCCCTATTATTCTCTGTTAGTTCTGCAAATTGCAAGCTGTTATGACTTTGGTTTAAGTAGCATGGAGAATATACAATATAAGTGGTTCTGGTTGCCCCAAAAACACTGCTAATGGAGCCAGTTTTTGCACAATCATCCGGAGTCGAATGTTTATTTTGAACCCAAATTATAAAATAGTTGAGTTTCTTCTATTGGACAAGCTAATAAAAACAAGAATCTGGGTAGGCCATTCCCTTCTCTAAGATTTGTTGACCTCAACTGATCAGCGTTCTTGCTTGGATACGCCAGGCTCTAAAAATTTGGCTGTAGAAATCCATGTCCAGGAACCATTCCCTGACGGTTGGATTGGTTCGATTAGCCCTCTTACTTAAAAACACTTGCTCCACTTATCCATGAAAGATTTATCAATTGTTTGAATTGCATGGCGTGATGCGTGATGTCTTGTGTTTGTTCAATGCCAGTCAACTAATTTTCCTTAATTTTTGGATGTTATATAATAATTAAACTACACTGATATTCAGGCCAATCTATCAGTTGGAACAAACTGAAGCTCTTATTCACCTTCACTATTTCAGCATTCCTCAACTAACCCGCATATGTATATCATCCCCCACTCTCTATATTCAATCCCATCTCTCCTTTCAGGGTTGTTGTCCCACCTTGAACTTAAGTACCAAATCCAAGTCAGAAACTTAGACAATGAAATTTGCACTGAAAAAAAAAAAAACTACACAAAGTCTTGTTCTGCTGAAGGCTTATGTTTACATAAGTTTACAGAAGGAAGGGCCCCTTATTCAAAAATAACTAAACTCTTGCATCAGCATCTGGCCCTGATAGTTTCTGACTTGGAAGGATCGAGTCTCACCTTGATTCTCGGCTTTGGAGTACCTCTCTTTTGTGTTTCCGTTTGACCTTTTTTATAGTCTAAAACTTTAACAAAGAACGTCAATGAATTCAGTTAAACGCACTTTCCCTACCTGAAGTGACATTGGTCATTGGTGAGGTTGGTGGGGTTATGAAGATTTGGATTATGTAAAGATGTTACAAAATTTTTCCCCCAAAGGTCATGTTAACGGGGTTTAGTTCACCCACTTAACTATGACTCTCTCCACTCAACATCTTTAACACCTTTTTATCATGCTTGTGATAGTGACTCCCCTTAGCTAATGGGAAATGACTCCTTGCGATCTCAATCCATCCCACCAATGTATCATTTAGTCTAAAACAATTTGACCAGAGTTTCCATGAGGCATGACTAATTTTCGTTGTGCTCCGCAGTAGAGTTGGGAATAGCAAAAATCGAGAGTTTGGGGTTTCTATTTAGTAAGTTCGTTATGGGAAATCAAGTTCTCAAATACGGCTTGATTGTGATAGATTCTTACTTTGGGACATATTAGGCCCTCTCACCAGCTCCCTTTTCACTAATTACTCATGCTAAACTACAACATAAAACTTGAGTGACCGATTCAATCATTTCCTCCAAAACTATTCTATTTTCAAATAAATTATCTAAAATCAACTGCTTATCGCTTATTGACAGTTTTTGGGTGGCCATGAAAAAGGAAAATGCAATCTTTCATCAAAGTTTTCACATTCATTGCACCCCAAAAGATAGACTTGAAAGGAAAATAAACATGATTGTAGATTATTTCATGCTGCCGATTGCTTCCTCATTGCATGCGCAAATTTTTCAGTCAAAAATCTTCATTTGGGGTAATAATGAACGTTACTAAATAGCATAATTGAGAGGAGGGGAACATACCATGTGTTTTGAAGTCCGAATTATTCAAGGTACGGATAAATGACTCAACCATGTCGGGTCAGAACCAAAAAAGAGAAAGAGAGTATGCATTGGCATCGCAGACAAACCAATTATGCTGCATTTCTGTCATTTGCTACAATAGTAAATGATAATAGTTGTAAATTCCCTCAGGGTACAACTTTTATTTAATATATATTATTTCAAATGCAATGGTTGCCCAATGAATAAGACATGGCATCTCCCTATCCCAACAAAGTTATCCATATTTCAAAATTTGAAGCGGCCTAATTGGCATGGAGGGTTAGATTAAATTAAACACAGGTTAGGCACCAGGTCCCAATACCCCAGTAATCTTTGCTATACTATATTTTCTAATCTAAGAGAAAATCAATTGGAATTAATTATTAATTAATGATATATTACCAAGCCAAATTCAAGAGTCTTAAAAATTAATACTAAAACTGAGATCATGCATGGTAGTGCTTGATTTTCATTTAAATTATTTGCGTGCTCGACCTAGTCTACTATCATTTGCTATGAAATTCTTGACTTAGTACTAAAGAAAAAGGAAAACCTTTTTTATTTTTAAGGAAGTTGTTGCCATAAATTGATGAAAAAAGATATCGAAAATTATTTGCTCGAATATTTAGCCTTAATCATTTGAATCAAACCCAAATTGGTCATAATATTAAATTCTCATTATTAGCTTTTTATTTGCAAGTTATTTAAGTATATTTTATTTAGAAATATGTACTCTCACTAACATAAAAAAATTCCATGCTCCAAACTTTTCTTGAAGAAATTTCAAATTTCAATACTTATACAAAAACCCATTAAAAAGGTAGCCTTTGGCCCTCAAAATGTAATTAGCAACAAAAACGTCCCTGTTAATATCCCTAATTTTGTTCTTACTCGTTAACTTTTAATTAATTAATTAATCTAACTTAATCCTTCCCGCCCTTGGAGCTTTCATTGCTTCGGGTATCGTACGGGCATGGGACTTGGGAGCCATCCAGGCTCCAGCCCCTCCACTAAAATTAAAATATATTTTTTTAGAAAAATATATTATTGAAATAAAATAATGTACTTTTAATAATACAAAAATGAAATTCCCACCGCATAAAAAGACAGTCCTTCATAATGCCCAAATTACCCTCCAATAAGTTTACAAATTACCAACCGTCGGTCGGGGGGTCGTTAAGTTCTTTTCCCTCCTTTTACAAGCGTTAGTTGCGGCAGAAATCTCGAGCCCTGAAAACCAACGGTCAGGATGGTATCAGACAGACATCTGCTTCTGCATCAACTTAAATAAATAAATGGTAGTATATTAATATTTTTCAATGACATTAAAAAGAGTAAAAAAGAGAAGAAAAGTTTGTATAAATATAGGAGAGATTCCAAATCATTCTCAAACTGGTTTTTAGCTTTGCTTTGATGCTTCTAAGAATAACCAACTCCCAAAGATATACCGTTTCTTAAAACCACTTTCTCTATCTAAAATTCTTTGGTTGCAAAGCAATCTTCTCTAAGATTGGGATTGGAATTCCTCCTCATAACATGAACATGTAACTTTAGTTGAGTTTTTTTTTTCTTTTTTGGGGATTTTCATGCTTGTTGATTATCCAAGAACTTTTCGGGCTCCATGTTGAAGAGGAATTTGAATTGAAAATACCCAAAGTTTTCTTCATTTTTCGAGTACTTGAAAAGCCTTGGATAATGGCTGTGGAAGGTGTATATTTCAGGCTTCATTTTTCCGTTTTGGAATTTATTTTATGTTTTCTTGTTATTGTTGCTGTTTTTGGACACTTTAAACGTTTCCATGAAGTGGGGTTGTGCTGGTTTTTGGATATAAAAGACAGGATTTTGCTTTCTGTTACCTTTGTGTCTTTGAAGGCTTTGTATTGATTGGTTAAATTGTTAGTATAACTTTTTGTTTTGCTTATGCAGAGACAGGAAGAGAGACACAAGACAACCCAGAAAAGGAATCGAAAACTGGGGTGATGAGAAGTAAATCACTAAATGATCAGCCATCACCAAGGGGTGTTTTGGAAATCCCTGTTCTGGGATCAGACTCTGATACCAGCAGCTGCAGCAGCAATTCTAGCTCGTATTCTCCAAAGAAGCCTGTTTTCCAGAAAGGGAGCCGAGATTCTTCTGGTTTGCAATGGAAGAATATAATTGAAAGCATTAAGAAGAAATCGGTCAGAAGGTTCTCTGTTATTCCTTTGCTGACAAGTTATGAGATTTCCAGGAAGAACTTGAGGAGGAAATTGGCAAAACTTCAGGGCTCTGAGGAAGAGGTTGATATTGACTGCCTACCCGTGCCTAAACCATCGTGGAAGAATTTTTGTTACTCAGAGCTTGCTGCTGCAACTGATAATTTCAGTCCTGGTAAGCAAATTATATTTAACCTTATTCCTTTTGCTTTTTCTTTCTCCAATCTAATTCAATTGTGCTCTTCAAATTTTCAAGTTTTGATGTTTTCAATCCTTATTTTCCTCCCTGTCTTTTGATATGTTTGTCTGTTCATTCTGCTTTTGAATTTTATTTTTTTTTGGGGGGAGGGAGGGACCCAAAAAATGGGAGCCATCATATTGGAAAAAAAACGGGTTTGGATTCATGTCAATCAGTATTTGTTTGGCAGATAGAAGACTGAACTGAAGTGGGCTTGACTTGTGTTTAAAGAGATTTATGTAGCCACCACTTAATGTTTTGTTGAATTAAGTCAGAAACGAGGTCTTGTCTTTTCTCATTATTGCATTTACTACTAAACTAGGCATTTGTCTTCATTTAGAAATAGTATGAAGCAATGTTTCTTGTATTAGTAGATGCATCTAATCATATACGGATTTTACTCCACATGAAAAACTATGGAAACTATTGAATTTCCCACCAGAAGGACGTTTGCCGCTTTAGCGAACATTGTTTAGACAGGTTGTGGCTTTTTTGTTTTCTTTTTTTTAATAGGTTTAGATAGATTAAATAAGCTTTTTAAAGTTGGATAAGTTTCAATACTGTGTATATATTTTTCTTTAGTAAAAGGGTTAACGGTTTCTCAGGGTTAGGCCTAATTTTCTTCCCGAGTTTCATATATATTTGATTATAAGTTATATCAACTACATCTTAGAAAGAAAGAAATACATCGGCAGACAGACGGTCAAACTTGCCTACAATTGAAAGCAACTTAACGGTTTAAAGAGAAGTTATTTTTGACTAAATGAAAGTTAAGATGGAGGGATTGAATGAAAAAGATGTGGGAACTGGCCAGGTTGACCTCTGCAGTTAGCAGCGTAACATTCATACAAATTTGGTGACTTAATGGTTCCCTTTGATCACGGGGACATGAGGTTGACCGTTTACTGAGTTGGGTTTTCTGTATCTTTTGAGTATGATTTTGAATATGCATCAAAACTTGGTAGAGAATTTGCTGGGAAAAGGGGGCCATGCAGAGGTATACAAAGGGCACTTATCTGATGGTCAAATTGTAGCGGTGAAGAAGCTTACCAAGAATGACAAGGAACAAGAGGACAGAGCCAGTGATTTCTTGTCAGAGCTTGGGATTATTGCTCACATAAATCACCCAAATGCAGCTCACTTAATCGGATTCAGCATTGATGGGGGCATGCACTTAGTCCTTCAGTTTTCCCCTCATGGCAGCCTTGCTTCTGTGCTTTTTGGTACTGTGCCCATTTCTCTATTTCTATTCATCACACAATCAATTCTATCAGGAACAGGGGAAAACAAGCAAAGAATTGATTCTAAATGGCTGCGGTCATTCTATTTTAACCTGTTAAATGTACTTTACGATTAACCATTGCATATCCAATGGACTAACGAGGAGATGTTATGCACAGCAGGCTCACCTGAAAGTCTAGATTGGAAGACAAGGTTTAAGGTGGCTGTTGGGGTAGCAGACGGATTGAAATATCTCCATCACGACTGCCAGAGGCGCATTATACACAGAGATATCAAAGCTTCTAACATATTGCTCACCCAAGATTATGAAGCTCAGGTATTTTCAATGCACTGATATGAATATCTTTTCTCTGTTAATGCTATACTGTTTGGTTGAATGACACCAACCTTCTAATTTCTTCTACTCACTGTAGATTTCAGATTTTGGTCTGGCAAAGTGGCTCCCCGAGAATTGGCCTCACCATGTCGTCCATCCCATTGAAGGAACATTCGGGTTAAGCATGCAGCTTTTTACTGCCTTGTTATTAGCATTGGTCATTTCATAAAGCCCAAAAATATTAGCTATATTGGGGCTAATGTGTATGAAAATTGCCTCCAGGTATTTGGCTCCAGAGTATTTTATGCATGGAATTGTTGATGAAAAGACTGATGTATTCGCATTTGGAGTTTTGTTACTGGAGTTATTAACAGGTCGCCGTGCAGTTGATTCATCCAGACAAAGCCTTGTGATATGGGTACATCTTCTTTACCAAAATCATCAAATCAGCAAAAGCATTTCAACATTTTATATCCTCCGGAAAGATATAAACTTATTTTCGGTTTCATATACAGGCAAAACCACTTCTGGAGTCGAATAAAGTAAAGGAATTGGTAGATCCTCGGCTAGAGGATAATTATGATCCGGCTGAAATGAAACGTGCCCTGTTAACAGCTTCCATGTGCATTAACCACTTAGCCACCATGCGCCCAAGCATGATAAGGGTATGAAACAATCTCGAAAACATCTCCTTTTTCTCCCTTGTCTAATCCTACCAATTCCTCCAATTCATGCCATAAACCCCGAATTCTTTGGGGATTTACAGGTTGTAGAGTTGCTTAAGAATGAAGAAGGTCCTGTAGAGTGTCAGCAGAAGTCTTGTCGAGGGAAAGCAGTAATTGTAGACGGCTGTGACTTGCAAGATTATACTCGGACCAGCTACCTTGATGACCTCAACCGTCATATGCAGCTAGTGATGGAGTAATGCAGGGTGCTGCTGCTGCCGCCGCCGCTGCCACTTTTTGTTAGTTGTCTGTGTGAAAGTTGGAAAAATAGTATGCCTCTGGCCCTGAAGGGTTTGGATAGTAGTTCTTCAGGCTTTCAGCTTCCTACGTTTTCCTTTCAAAATAGTTGATTGCCTCGCCATACACCTGCGGAGAACATTGGGAGAACATTGGGGAAACAGTTCACAGCCATTGATAAAAGTGCTATGGTTCTGAAGAAAATGGTATGCCCCTGGCCCTGAAGGGTTTGGATAGAAACCGGATGCCATGGGGCCATTGTGCTGAAATTTACATATGCAAGAAAATCCTTTGTTAATAATAATAATAAAAAAAAAAACTCAGCTTCTTATAGAGCTCACCTGTAAATGTAACACATAGCGTGTATAAAGATTGTTGCAGCAACCTTATCCGTGAATACTATGAGAATTCAGATCAGATTGGCACTAGGATAACAATCACAGGAAAGAATTATCTCAAAGCCTCATAGCCTCATTTAAATAAAACCCTATCTTTATTTAACCCACATTCGTCTAAATAAAGAAAGTGGGACGATTTTAAATTGAAGCAGTAGTCTTACAACCAATTTCCTAAATATAGATATTACTATCAAATGATCTTCTTTTTTTTTTAGTGTTAAGTGGAACAAAAGTAATGTCCCGCATAAGAAACTTTTAATTTGGATTTTTTTTTTAGTTAAAGAAGTTGATGAACAAGCAGCAGACCAAAGGTCCACATAGCCTAAATTCAAAGGGGCAGAAAGTTTGGAAACTATGCAACTTCAGCAGCTTTTCATCTTGTTAACCCTTTTCTTTTCAAACTTCTCATTTCTCGTGGTCCTCCAATTTTTGTCCGTACTATGCTACGCCGAAGTTTAAATAATCATCCTCATACCAAACCTAAGTATAATTAATCGGGTCCATTTTCCTAAAATAGTCACCTTACCACTCCATTAAATTTGGACCTTTTAGGCCCAACAAACGGCCCAAATTAACGACCGGCAGAAACCTAAGAGGACCAATTCCGTCGGAGCTAGCCAAGGGACAGTGAGACGGAAATCAGAAATGGCAACTGAGGTTTTTATCCAGGTGGCAATTTTGATATTAACACTCGCGATTTTCTTTGCGATTCGACACTTTCCCACACAAGCCCTAACCAAGCACCGAATCGACCATCGAGCCACTACCCAAACCCAACGCCATCTCACCCGAGCCACCCACTTGCTTTCTCGAGCCAAATCCAACCCTCACAAAGACCAATCCCAAACCCTAGCCAAAACCGCCATATCCGAAATTGAAAAGGCACTCTCTCTTCCCCTAAAGACCAAACCCCTCACATTCTCAAATCCCTTGCTCTCGACTTGTTGGGCCACAAGGGATCCGCCCTCCGATCGCTAGATTTGGCCATGACTTCGCCGAGAGCGAATTCACTCGCGGAAAGAGAGCGCGTGGACGCGATGGTGAGGAGGGCGGAGTTGAAGTTGGCGGTTAATAGGAGAAGGCGAGTTGATTCGGCGGTTACGGATTTGGAGGGGGCGATTCGGGTGAGTGAAGAAAAGGGTGGGGTCAAAACGAGGGCGTTTTGTTCGTTGGGTGAGTGTTATGAGTTAAAAAGGGGTGAGGGAAGAAGCTAAGAAGTCTTTCGAGGAGGCGCTTAAGATGGAGCCTGGATCTGGCGTGGCTCGTCAGGGCTTGGAACGGTTGAGTTTGTCATGAGTCATGACTGGTCAACCTTTTTTCCTGTAAAAAAAAAAGATGTGCGACTTTTATTTTTCTGTGTGTCGTGTGAGTCTACAAGTACATGGGAAATTTTGTAGTATAACAATTTTTATTGCTGTAAAGAAGCCATTGAAATTCGAAATAAAACTATTTTTGTGTAATATAGTTTTTACATTTACGAAAATTAAATATTTTCAAATGTTAAAATGTAGAATACTAAAGCATTGGTCACGGTTTCTATATACCTAGAGATTATTTTAAAGTGATTGATGCGACACATTAGACGGGACATTGAATTCAAAATGGTGAAAGGATATCATTACTAGTTTACATTTTTCATGCACGTAGATATTTTTCATCAGTATTTGATGTGACACTTGTATTTTTCTTTGACTACAAACCAAAGGGTAAGGAAGCCCATACCAACACAGTCAATGTCCCGTCTTTGATCTCTGAATTAAATTCGGGAGAAAAGAAAGATTGGGAAACAGCTAAAATAGGTGGTTGGTCTGCTATCAAGATTATTGCGGAAAGCTCATGCTTTTCTTAGATGAGAAGAGAATGTGAAAATGTGGGGACAGATCAGCTAATGATGGGGGTGCCAATTAAACTTGGTGAGCATTGAAAAACTTTTCGCAAGGAAAAGGGATGGACTTTGCTCATTTGTTTCAACATCCGTCTCATCTTTTAACATCTGAAGACAAGATACTTACAAAATCCAGCTTTCCTAATTTTTCAAACTAGAACCTTTAGCCTTCAAAAACAAAAACCTCTTTGTCTTAATCCTACTCTTGCCAAGGTAAAGAGGTATAGATCAGGTGGTGATGGTCAGATAGGGGGTCAGCTGGGAGCATGACGCCTTTTGCTACGACTTGTTAGCTGAAATTGCAACTATTCCTGCTTGTTAAAACTGCTTGGTCATTTTAGTAAGTCTGGTGAGGCCATAAGAAAAACTCAGCTGGCTGCGGCATTGCATTCAATTGGGTTGCCATTGCTGAGGAAGAGCCAGGTGGATCAGAAAAGCCTATGTTGGCAGCCTGAAGCTGGTGGTAGAGATTCTGCTGATAAAATGCTGCCGCCGCTGCAGTGTCAAAAGGGATTCCGCAAGGAATAGCAGAAATTGGCTGCATGGGAGCAAAACTTATATTGTTGCTGTTGGAGCTGCACTGGGGTTGTTGCTCATGGTTTACTATTGGTTTTTGCTCCGATTCAAGTGAGAGCTTTAGGCGCTTAGCTGCCCCACCAATGGGAAGAGAACTCTTGGCAATGGCTTCAACATCATACCGGTTCATCTCAAAGTTGGTAACTGCATTCACACCCCTAAACTTTATGGCCGCGATATCATAGGCCTCAGCTGCCTCCTCTTCGGTAGCTGTCACAATACACAAGACGATTATTCACAGTTGCCAACAAGAATCTTATCTAGTATTCTACTTTGTAGAATACAATAACTTAATTATACAATCAAAAGTTGTCAAGTGGGTGAGCCTGTCCATCAGTCGTTACTGCAGCCCTTACCAAAAGTTCCTAGGTATAGGTCCTTATTTCCAGCAACACGGCCTATCCTTGCTTGCCATCGGCCCTGTTGATGATGCCTGCAAAATTATGGTAATAACCTCAAGCTTCGGTCATTCGCCAGATAATTGTCACATAGATAAACACATCATAAAGAGTTATTTCGGATAGAGAATAATTCGAACCCTAAACAAAATGTTCTAACCTTGTGACACCTCTGTAAATTGATGCTCCCCTTGAGAATCCGCTACTCTTCCTATCAAATATCAATTTGAGAGAACGAAACATTAACATACTGCATTTGAAACAAAAAATACGGCAAGCACAATTTACTAAGGTCACAAAGCATTACCTCCGTAAGGATGCGATAAACTCTTGCTTGGACACATGTTTCATCTCCTCTAACTCTTTCGTATAATTTGAAATCTAAGGCAAGCAAAACATGGATCAGTTAACAAGCTCATGCTCTAGCTAGCTAGGGCACGTAAAATGTCATGCAGAAACAAGAGGGACCATCATATTGATTAGTTTAAAATACAAGAACTGTGCATATATAATACCGGGAAGTTGGTGGTTGCCGTGGGACCCCAGTATTTGAGAGCTGCCAAATCGTAAGCCCTAGCTGCTTTTTCTTCCTTATCATAGCCACCTGACAAATCACAAGACATATTTTTAGTCTATAAATTTATTTGGCACATATGAAATTGCGAAATAAAACTTGTTAATACAACAAAATAATATTATTGCAGAAGTTTCTTACCCAAGTACACTGTAGAAACACAATTTGAGCATTGAATGGCAGCGAGACATCAACGAACGAACGATCCCACATTGCGTGCAAAAGTTAGGCAACGATGTCAATATCATATCAGGTAAATGTGCTGGTCAAAATTTTCCACTAGGAATCATTTCTACGAGCAATATAAGGCCAAAAATAACACGAAGATCCATGTGCTTTTGGTTGGCATGCTGAGGTGGTTAAAGGAATAGAATTCTTTTGGTATTGAAACCAATAAAAACGTGATGATAAAACTTAAAAAATTCTTCAATCTTGCAGAGCCAAATTGCCTTTGCCCTTTAATTGAGCTAATCAATCTAAAAAAATTCCACATTGTACATTGACTATTAGGGGGAAACTCTAAGCAAATTTCACCTACTTTATAAAATAATACTGCTTTACAAATGCTTTGAATTTATTTGAAATTTTAAAGTACGGATTACGCTTGCTAGAGTGCTAGCCTAGAGTGTGAATCAGAACAAAGCCCACATTACCAGACCTCACGAGAAACAATATCAACAAGTTTAGGCAATAATCTTTCAAAAAACACATTTTGCAGGCAATAATAGTGGGGGGCACACATCCTTTTCATCTTTAAATTTAAAAAAAAAAATCAAATGGGTGCTTTGGTCAAACCCAGACCCTCTCTCTCATGCTCTGCGGTGGGCTGTCTGTTCGGTTTGATAGCAAAAGCAAAAGCAAAAGCCAACTCAGTAGACATCAGACTGTTTCAGAGTTCAGACTTTCATTCAAGTGCAAATAAGGCCTGAGCCAGTGGTGGGTGTGGGTCGTGTCAAACAAACCCTCTCAGCAGAGTGAAACAGGGCCCCAGGTGTCTGAGAGAGAGAAATGAGAAAGAAAAACAATGAACAAAATGGCGGCACATCTGATCAAATCAATCAGAGTTTTTTTTTAAAAAAAAGCAAACCAAGAGAGAAAACAAGAAAAAAAGAGTTTTGCAGCAAAAGCAAGTACCATTTGTACATATACATAACATCAGTCTTTCAATCATCATAAAAAGACTGATGACAAATGCCCCTCGCCCCTATTCCCACTGAACCCCTCATTAATGCCTCTTTGAATGCATGCAAGCTTCTTTTCAGTGTCACAGTGTATCTATCTAGCTTGCTTCCCTTCCCCTACATATTTGCATTTCTGAATATATATTTTTGCCTTAGTTTAGAATAATTTGAGAAAGAGAAAGAGAAAAAAATAGAGGACCTTGACGCCCTTTTCTGGCTTGACCCTCTCTCCTACAGCTGTTATCCCACAGATGCGCTTCATATCTACCCGTCCATCTGTGCCTGCATTGGCCAAGCCAAGTAACCAACAAAAAAATGAGTCATAACCAATACAAATAAGATAAAAAACCTCCATATTTTAAGTTTACAGAAATTGCTTTAATTAACTAAGTACCCAAAAAAAACAATAAAACTAGAAATAAGAAAGGAAAATGAAGTGGATTGATGGGATATTAACCTGGTGACACCTCTGTAGATTGAAGTTCGCTGACCAAAAGTATCAGCAATCTTCTTTGAGCAATCTGAGTCAACCGAAACAATGGCCTTAATATTATTATTATTATCATTAGTACCGTTATTATTATTATTTTCGCAACTTCGATTAACCCCGAGTGACAAAGCACCGGCAGTTGGACAGTTGGAGAAACCCAACTCGGTACCCGTCGACTCAATCGAGTGACCAGCAAACTCAACAGCTGTCAATTGAGTCCGACCCATTGAGACCGAGTCATCAACTTCGGATCCCGAGTTCGTCGAAAACGCTTGAAACGCAGTAATTGCCTTGAGATCTTGGTGCTCATTGAAGTAAGCAGAACCGCTGTGATCATATATTTGGGTCAAAGATGAGTCTTGGGTTTCGGTTTGGCTGTCTGAATATCGAACAATCGATGAGGAATCTCCAAGGAAGTCTTCAAGCTTCGGTGCTTGTTGGTGGAAGCTTGTGAGAATGGGAGATTCATCAGCCATGGCTGGAGGATGAGCTTCTTTGCATTGGCTCTCCTCTCCTTCCGTAAAGAACACTTGATGTTTCGGATTTGTCCAGCCTTCAAAATAATAACAAAGAACATGCACATAAACGAGTCAATTCAGTATTTCTTTCTTTCTTCCAATCCATGAGTTTTTTCTTAGCTACCAAACGTAAACAGAAAAAAAAATTGGGTTATTTTTGTATATATCACCACAGTGAGCTTTACAAGTCGGTTTAATTGAGTAACCAGTATGAAAATTAGCTCAAACTTAAACTACATGATATTTTGTAAACCTATTTCATTTTAACCGCCTACAAAGAAAGATGGGACTTTAAAAATCGTTGGGTTTCTCCCATATTTTCTTGGCAATAGAAGTTATGAAAAGAAGAGAAAAAAAAGAGAACAGAAAGAAGAAAAAAGTTTACCATTAGCATAGAAGTTATCGATCAAGTAATGAGGAGAAGAAACAGATGCCGCAGAGGATCCTTCATATGACACAAACTGAGGCTCAGATGATGACCTCAACATCTCCATCGGAGATAGTGAAAATGAGAGCCAGTTGCTCGCTGGAGCCATTTAATATTCTTATATATATATATACTATAATTCTATAACCTTCAATAACTTTTTCCTTTCTCTAAAAATAACACTAAAAACCAAAACTATTTCTTCAGGAAACAAACAAAGATTAGCTCAGAACCTTTTTAACCTCAAACCATACCAAAAAAAAAGATGAAATAAAACCGATGATATTTTTACCTTAACCGTTACTTAAAACTGCTCCATTGAGAAAAACAACTACGATAATCACGAAGCTTAGAAAGAAGAACAAAATCTTTTTTAAGCTTAAAAGAGCTTAAATGCACACAAACTCATCTGGGGTTTCTTTCAAGAAGCTAAGTTTTCGAATTTAAGAAGGAAAAAGGAAAAAGAGAAAAC